GATGCTTGGCATGTTGAATCACGATACTCTCAACAAGAATGTAGGGACACTCCATGGGCCCTCGTAGCTAGTCGACATTTGGCTTCTGACATCTGCAAAAATATATCGTTTCCGAGGTCAAACCAGGGGCCCGAGCTCCGTCTTTAGATGTTTAGTGTGGCTTTAGGAAAGGATACAGGTTAGTATAATAGGGGCCTGAATAATTACCAATTCTATTTTGAGGGTTCCTTATTGTAATTGTAGTACAATATACCCCAAAACCCCCCTATTCGAATAGTTGAGGCCCCTACATAGAACCCTTATACGTATAGTAACCCTTATAGTATCCCTGTGAAGGAACCCTTTAAGGAACCCTATTCTACTTATTAAGGCCCCTACCCAGAGAGCCCCATACCCCTTAGTTAAGGAATGTACCCTAAATCATAATCTTAAGGCCCCCATAATTTAAGGTTATTCCTTATTTAAGGGGTATTGGGTTCTCTGGGTACATTAGGGCAGTTTTTTTTTGAGGTTTGGTCTTTTGGAGTTCGGGGCTCAGGCTTACTTGCAGGTTCATGGGTGGTTACAAGTGAAGTCATAAGTCCCCTAATATCGGTTATAGTTATAGTTACCCTACTTATAACCCCACTTAACCCTAAACCCTATAGAACCCTTAAAGGAACCCTTAAAGGAACCCCATAACCCCACTTCTAACTACCCATGAACCGCCAAGTACGCTTTCCGGAGCTCCTGTATGGGCCTGTCGGACCATGCTGTGTAGGGTTTAGGGTTTAGGGTGTTTAGGGTTTAGGCTGTTTGGGGTTTAGGGCCCCTGTGCTTATCCTTAAACCCTAAACCCTAAACCCTGACCCTAAACCTAGGGTTTAGGGTTAAGGGTTTAGGGTGTAAGGAGTTTTTGCTTTATGTGGGCAGAAGGAACATCTCTGCCGTGCGGCGACTGGCAGCGACGAGCCCATGTTCTCCCGATTCGGCTCCCAGCCAGCGTTTTGAGCAGTTGCAGGGGGTTTAGGGTTTAGGGTTTGTGCCGGTTTCCAGGCTCTGCTTGTACTTGGGGAGGTTCATGGGTAGATATAAGTGGAGTTATAAGTCCGCTAGTATGGGTTATAAGTATAGCTACCCTACTTATAACCCCACTTAAAACTACCCATGAACCTCCAAGTACCCTTAAAACAGGCGCGCAGGCCCCAGATAGTAGGTATTCAGGGTCTAAAACCTTAAACCCTAAATCCTAAACCCTAAACCCTAAACCCTAGTTGGATGGAGGGTCCAGGTTGTCGGTGTTCCTTCTTGCAGGTCGAAGCTCAGTACTTCCACCAGAAGCAACAATATGGTATGTTTAGGGTTTAAGGGTTTAAGGGAAGTGGCTTTGTTGCATCGTTCTTGTAACAAATGTATGTGTCGTGTCGTTCTATCTGCTGCACACACTCTTGCGACTGTGAACAAGGTTAACCATGCGCTTGCCATTCTTGTTGTTGCTGTTTTTTACACTTACCACAAGAGTATGTATTATGTGTTGTCTGTCGGTTTCTCACATTTATGTTTGCAGGGTCTGGGTAAGTCGGTTGTTTTTGGAAGGATGAGTTACAAAGACACTAGCTTCGTCTCTCCTGACCTATAACTACATGGGTGCGTGTACGTGTCACGGTCTGACTACTTGGAGGTTCATGGGTAGGTATAAGTGGGGTTAACGTAGGGTAACAATAATTATAACCCATATTAGGGGACTTATAACTTCACTTATAACTACCCATGAACCTCCAAGTACCTCAACAACAATCTATTGACGCGGCTCCAGGCTTCTGCTGCTGGCTTGGCCCAGTTGCAGTACACCCACAGCTGTGGCCAGGCTTCCCAACAGTACCACTTTCTCGTTTTTAGCCTCGGAGTTCCCATAGGATTCGTGGCGGAAATCGTGTAGGGTCCTTCACGCTTAGAACCGTATTCCTTACTAGCATTCCTGCACCATGATATCCCCCCAAAACCCTACTACATGGTGAACCCAGGTGGCGACCAGCAGCATGACGAAGTATGCTTGGCGCACTGCAGCATGGGCTTCACTATGACGGAGGACATCCCCGGAAGTTTCGGATCGACTTGAACGTTCGTGCGTTGACTTCGTAATTCCCCTAGAGGAGCCCTCAAAGGAGCTTCCTAAACCCTAAACCCTAAACCCTTAAGACCCAAAACCCCCTTAAAGGAGCCCTTAGAAGGAACCCTTAAGGGTCCATGTGCCTAGTTATTGGGTTGCTTTGGACCAGAGTTCTATCTGAATACATGTGGGTCCCCAATATAGTACGGCGCCCTTATAAAGAGGACCCTAAAGGGGATCCTAATTTAGAGAACTACCCATGTGGCGGCTGGTTAAACCCGCTCATGTAGCCCACGTAATCTAGAGCCTTAATGACTTGAATAGGGTTTTGGGTCCGATTACTATAATTATAATAAGGAGCCCCCGAAATAGTATTGGTAATTATTTATTAATGCCTCTACGGTAAGTCTGGAAAGGTGTCCTGGCAAACCCCAAGCCCGAAATCCTGACCCGTGAAACCCCAAAGCCCTAGACCCTGACCCCCCAAACCCGCAAACCCTAAACCTCATTAGGGTTTAGGGTTTAGGGAAACTTCAGTAGGAGCAGCTGCAGTGTAGTTGAGAAGAGACACACACACACACACCCAAAGCCACATCTCCGAAGACTTCATGACTTCCGAGTACGCAACGGGGGAAGCCAATTGTTGTCAGGGTTGTTAGGGGGTGTTGGGGTTTAGGATTTAGGCTTTAGGGTTTAGCGGTTAACGGGTTAGGGTTTAAGGTTTAGGGGCTTAGGGTGTAGGGTTTAGAGTTTACTGGGTTTGGAGCTTATGCTTTGGGGGCCTGAAACGCCTGGACCCTTGAAAAGCCCTGAATTCCTGAACCCTAAGCAGGAGACACCTGCCATCTTGGTTTGCGACAACGGTGCCTTCGTTGGAGCGTCGATGCCAACGCGCCATGGTCTAAATGGGACGGTTAACCCTAAACCCTGGACCGGCCACAATGAAAGGCCAGCAAAAAGTTAATGTAGGATGTAAGGGGGCGTCTGAGACCACAAAATGAAACTCCAGAAAGAGTGGAAGCTCACAATAGAAGAACTACCAATACTATTTTTTTGGGGCGGTTCCGTATGATAACTATAGTATAACATACCCCAAAATCCCACCCTAATTATTAAGGCCCCTACATCAGGGTTTTGGGGGACTTTGTTGGGCTCATAATATATTAAATTCTTAGACCTACGAAATCTGGGGACCGTCGATGTTCCATCTTTCTGGCACTTCCTCTAGGCGCAAAGGCCCAGCAGTATTCAGACAGGGGCCGGAAGAAATACAGATATTATTCCTTAGGGCTTGACTAAACCCTAAAACCCTCAACCCTAAACCCTAGACCTTGTTGCTATTAGTACACCCGAAAAGCCGGTCTTGATGATTATTTCGGCCCCTAGATTACGGGTTTCCATTCTGAGGTGTAGGATTTCGAAAAAGGGCTTGAAGCTTCAGGTACAAAGGTTACAGGTTCGTGGTTCCAGTTCCCAGTTTTTTATGCATGGTTATTTTAAGCAGCTCGTATACGCATACATACATGTATGCACAAAGACACCCACGTTTATATATCGAGTGCACATGCATGAGCAGGTACTTGCGCTTGCACAAAAACGGTGCATGCATACTGCTACTTACTCACACACAGGTATGGTCAGCATACCATGTATGTCATCTTCGTCTGTATGGGGTGAATGCATACGTGCAGGCATGCATACGTGCAGGCATGCATGTGCATATGTTGTGTGTGTGTGTGTGTGCGTGATTGCTTGCTTGTGTGTGTGCTATGTTATCTTGTATTTATCTATCTTTGTACCAGTTCATGTTGTGCTATACCCTGCTGTGCTAAGCTACTCTATGGTATGCCATGCTACGACGTGTCGTGCTTGATCATGATAAGTTGTAGTACACTTCTTTCTGCTGCGCCAGTATGCATGCATGGATGCATACACATGCACGCATGAATGTAGGTGGGTGGGTAGGTGGGTAGGTAGGTAGGTAGGTAGGTAGGTAGGTAGGTAGGTAGGTAGGCAGGCAGGCAGGTAGGCAGGTAGGTAGGTAGGTAGGTAGGTAGGTGGGGAGGTGGGGAGGTGGGGAGGTGTCGAATTATGTAATTATGTACGTATGTATGTATGTATGTATGTATGTATGTATGTATGTATGTATGTGCGTAAGTGCTGGTATATGTATGTATGTGTGTATGGCTGTATAGATTTATGTCATGTATGTTGTCAGGCTTGCTGCGAGGGCAACGTGCTTTGTTCCCTCTTAGGGTGTAGTTCCGACTTGAACACAGAAGTTGAACCCCCCCCCCGCCCACCCAAACCCGCACGAACGCTTCTCGGCGTAGTTAAGCTTCAGCTCCACATAGTGGTGTGGCAAACTTTCGACGCAGACCACGTCATTCATTAGTTGTAAATCCTATTGTACGTCCGAAAACCCTGCAGTCCGGACCCCTAAACCCCGCGCCCCGAAACCCTAACTCTAAACCCTTGCCCTTAACTCTGCGCTTATGTGCACCCTAAATCTTTGCATACCGCAAATCCCGAAGCCCGAAACCCTAAGCCCTAAACCCAAATCCTGAAGCCCCAATTTCCACCACGAGAGGTGCACTGGCCAGCCTTGCAACAACTCGCTGCCACAAGGTGCCCAACGCACACAGGGGCCCCAACAATATCCTATACTGATTTGGGAGTTCCTCGTTATACCTATAGTATAATATACCACCAAACCCTTTTCTAATTATTAAGGCCCCTGTAGTATGCCTCTGGCTTGGGGGGCAGGCCGAGGTCAGGGAATAGGGAATGTCATGGCGCGCCAGCGCAACTGCAACGACGACGGCAACGAGAAGAGCTACTGCTAGTGCTAGTGCTGTTGCGACTGCGACTGCGACTGCTGCTGCTGCTGCTGCTGCTATTCCGACTCCTA